CAAAACAGTCAAACTCTGAGGAAATCATTGATAGCATTTCTGTGAACTCTTCAACAAAGGCTGGAGAGTATTTTGGATGCACCGATACCAGTATCGGTATCGGTGCATCCCTAGTAATATGTGAGCATGCTTTCTGTATTATAATAGATAGATGGCAATGGGACACTATTTCACCCATATTTTGACTTTTTTTCCACAAAAGTTACTTGAAACTTTCAAGTAGACACTTTAATATGGTTTTTATGTATATAAAATCACTTTTGTACATTTAATTTGATGTGGACACCAAAGTGGGATGTGTCATTTTGACCCACATTATAATTTAGATTTATATATATATATATTATTAATGATAATGCATGTGTAGCTGTGCATTAACCTCAAATGTGGTTATTTACTGAAAATAAATATTGTGTAGGATTTACTTTGAAACAATTTTCACTCAGAAATTGGTAGTAAATGTCACAAAAAAATTACAGCAAGTAACACTGAATTAAATGAGAAATGTTGAAGTAGAAAAACTGAAAAAAATTGAAGTACTCCAGTAATCTTTGTATTTTTTACAGTGCTTGTTATCTTTGTAAACATTGGTTTTGTTGGTTTCAACTGGATTTGTCAAAATATTGAGTCTGATCTTGTTCATTATTCTTGTGTTATATAAATTGCTATTTCTAATCCTAAAGAAGTGCTATCAGCTAGTGAAATTTGACTATCGTGACAACCTTAGACTCCTGCAGCTCTGTTTGTACCTGAAACGGTTGAATGATCTCAGCACATGATTGACAGAAGATCCAGCCTGACGTCAGTCTGAGATTAACAGACCTTCATATGGAGGACACATTACAGCACCTCTGCGAAACCAGTCCTCACTTTTACATGTGCAGTGATTTATAGATTTCCATATAAAAGACAGACAGTAATGGACAATGACTGAAACAGTCGTTTGTCTTCAACATTAACAGCAGACAGTGTGAGGACTGTATGGCGTCCATAGTGAGACAAACGGCTTTGTTGTTCTGCTTTCTTTGGTTTGGCCACTTAATCTCTATTATAGACCGAATGAAAAACAGATTTCTGTGGTTTGACTGATCACAACTGGACAACTGGCAATTAGATGTTTGTGTTCGTGGTTTTGCAAACTCTTCAAAATTACTTCTCAACACAACAATTACTATTAATCATGAAAGTGTTAAACAGTCCGCATAACTTATTCAACGAGTTTGGAAAATTACTTTTTAATGAAGTTATTATCTAAATGTAACCATGAAAGATGCTGTCACTCAAAATGATACAAAGCAAATACAACATTAGGCTATGTGAGGCCATGCATTACAGTGTTTTACTACGGTATAGGGTGTTCTTAGACATGAAGTAGAATATATTTTATAGTATTATAAATATAAGTATATATTTTGATAATTGTATAATAATAAAATTATAATAAATAATATTAGATCATATATTTATTATTATGTATATAACAGAATGTGTGTGTATATATATATATATATATATATACAGTGGTGTGAAAAAGTAAGAAAGCGTTAGTGCTGTTAGTGCTGTGCTAGCACTGAAACACCTGGAAAAGGAAACTGAATACAGTATTTAGCACACTTTGATTCAGTGCCAGACTGTACAACGCAGGTGTCAACTTATCCTTGGTTTGGTCTTCAGGATGCACTAAATCTAATGCAGACCATTTATCCTGATGTCCATTTCTAAATTTCTGTAGAAGAGAAAGCTAGAGTTTCACATTTTAACTTATTTTTTTTTAAGTTATTGATAATAATAATAATAATTATTATTATTATCATCAGCATTAAATTAAATAATTATTATGATGCATTTCATAAGCTCAAAATGGTTATTATTCTTCTTCTAAAATAATTTTTGTAAATAATAATAATAATAATAATAATTATTATTATTATGCATTTCATAACAAGCTTAAAATGGCTTTTATTGTTATTTGTCTAAAATACCATTTGTAATAATAATATTGATGATGATGATAATAATAGTAATAATAATAATAACAAACAAAATTATTGAGCATCAAATCGGCATATTATAATGATTTCTAAAGGATCATGTGACGCTGACTGAAGTCTGTCGCCCACTCCTGTCCCATCCTCACGAAGATCAGGTTGATGTTACATCAGTCAAACTCTTGCTCTTGACGTGCTTTTCTTTTGCCAGGACTTTAAACAGCCTGCAGTGGGTTTAATTAATCTGTCATGCGTTGCACCTTTTAAACTCATGCTAGAGAGATCTGGTTTCTTTATCCTGACACTTTAAAGTGAGGAATTTGACCAGCGTGACACGAAGAGCACAGATACACAAACACAATTGTGCAACTTTTCACATTCCTCGACCGAAGGCAGAACATGCTGAACGGCTTAAAGCAAGAAACTGTAGAGTCGTTGTTATTGCATTACATCCGTTTAAAGCCGCCTCGGATTTCTCCATCACATTCAGGTCTACGAACCGAATTTAATTTGAAGCAGGGCGTGCGTACGGAGACTTTTACAGGATGACATTTTTTCCCATTGTTGTGTCCCTCGAGGGAAACTCTCTACCTTGAACCTGTGATTAGTGTGTCCATTTAATAAGTAATTTATGTTAAACAGGTGACATTAAAAACCCACTTCCATTTCAAGTGTAGCATGCTCCGAATGGCTTTCCGAGCCCTGAAGGCTTCTGCCAGCCGCTTGAAAATGAAGCCATGTCCAGATAATTCTTTTTTAATATGCTGTCATTAAAGAAAATGGAACATTTATCTTCGCCTCCTCACGTGGACTGCACTTAAACACACTCTGAGAGGAAGGACTCTGAGGCTGCAGGAAGACACAGTGTCTTTTTCTATATTTGGAATGAATCCATTTAATCCCAGTTTTCAGCAAACTGAGCACATGTTTTAATTTTTAGTTAGTGGAATATATGTGCTTTATTCTTGATCACAATTGTAACCAATGAGAAACAAAAACTGCTTAGCTGTTTAAAAAAAGACCTAGTAGAAAGTTGCAAATAAAAGTACTGAAAGTCTCTTTTGCTCACTAAGGCTTCATTTATTTGATCAAAATAAATACAGTAAAAACAGTAATATTGTGAACTATTATTACAATTTAATGCGTGCGATTAATTGCGATTAATCGTTTGACAGCACTAATTATAATTAATAATCTTAATAATTTTTTGTCAAAGTGTTAAATGTCAAATATGCCAGAATATATAAGTGGGCTTGTTTCCTATCCATACTTAATAACTTTCTCTCTATGATAAATTCATAAAGTGTTAAAATGAGGAAAGTTGTACTTTGCCCTTTTCCGAAGAACTTTGAAAAACTTATTTTCATATTTCATATTCGGTTCTGATGGAAATGAGAAGTGACAGGGGAGCACATCTCCGCCAGAGCAGCGGTTTGAAGATCAGAAATGTCATTAATTTTAATATTTTTATGTCATGATCTGTGGGCAGATTTATTAGGTGTCTTTACCAACCCGCTGCGAATTTCAGAAAATCTCATTTCTTTTTATTTGTATATGTTCAACCTTAATTGACTGCTAGTTATTGGCTGTGATCTTTATTCCAAGACATGATCAATGTTTTTACATAATAAGAATAAGAGAATCGCCTTGCGACTTTATACACATAAAATAAATACAGTCTTTTATTTACTGATAAACCAGCTCCTGTTAGACTCTTTGGATTTGTGCTTCATAGTCTGTACAATGTTTGTCACCGCTAATGCAATGCATAAACAATAATCATACCGCCTTTATTCACGTTTCATACTGAGATAATGTTACATTGTGCCTTAATTGCAGTCTATATGCATACGTGAAATCCAGCACACTTTCAACAGCTGCATTTATCGTTATGAAAGCAAGAGAACGTGCATTCGGTCCTTAAATTGATTGAATATGATTGGGAATAACGGCTAAGCCCGGCTCTTTCTTTGAACGCCGTTTGCTTTTGTCACGCCGGCTTTTTGTACCGTTACATCTTCGAGAATCACGTTTGATGGAGCGACCGGAGGATAAGCGCTACATAAGCACTGCAGATACCGAGGGAGATCAGCACGCTGATTTCAGATTGATGGGGACGGAGGAAGATGGCTTGGGGAGAGAAACACAACCAAAGACGAATAGAAAAATTGATGGAGAGATTTACGAGGCGCGTCAAAAGGCCGAACCTTGAGGGAAAGACAGACAGAAATCGAGCTAGAGAAGGGCCGCTCTCGGCGTCCGCGCGGCAAGCGCTAACACAGTAGGGAAATGAGAAGTTTGACCTTACATCACTGCCTCATCAACATGAAGAATATGAGAAAAAGCCCGAGGGCACCGCTGTGCCATCCTGCAAACCACCCACCCACGTCGTCGCCTGCGCCCGCCACGCATTAGTCTGCTTCACTCACTCGTTTCCTAAGCAAAGACTCGGGCCCCGCGGGTGAAGAGACACTAGATGTATGCGTTTAAATGATTCTGTCAGCCTCTAGTAAATGTCTCTCCCTCTGTTCGGCAAATTGAGCGAAATGGAGGTCGTACGCTTGAAGTGTTTTACAAGCACGCTCGATTGAGATGCTGCAAAAGTAGACGCGTTGGAGTTAATGTGGAAGTTGTTACCGGAAAGTCTAAACATGTTTGTTGAGGAGCGCTGAGGGTTCCATATCACAATATTTTGCCATCATTTATTCACCTCAATTTCTTTGTTTTTTTCTGTAGAACACAAAAGGATTTTTTGCAGTTATATTAATATTATTTCTATTA